TTACATTTATTTATTGTGTGTGTGTGTGTGGCCAGCTCAGCCCACCAGGGGGCGGGTCTGGCTGGCATGTGGTGCTGGGGATCGAACCGCGGTCCCTGATGCTTTGCCAAGCTTGTTTCAAGTAGGTGCTTTAGACCACTGAGCCATCTCTCCAGCCCCTGCTTTTGTTTTTGATTTTTGACACAGGATCTCACTTTGTTTCCACTCTGCCCCAGAGCTCCTGAGCTCGAGCGATCCTCCTGCCTCAGCCTGCAGGCCCAGCACTATGCCCAGCTCAGATAGGGCCTTTCTTTTTTCCAAAGCCTTTTACATTTCTTACTTTATACATAAAGAGTTAGCGTGGTCTCTCATTGAGTGCGTGTCCCGATACTCCGTGGAAGGACGATCACTCAGTCCGGCACGATGAAGCTGACATCTTTCCGGTGCCCAGAAACACCAGCAGCTCACGTGGAGGCAGCAAGAGCCCAGGCCGAGTCTGCTTGGGCGGCCCAGAAGAGCTGCTGGTGACCCCGGTTGCCTTCGGAGCCCCAAGGAAGCTGGAGGAGATACTTCCTTTCTAAACGTAAAAGCTGTTCAGCGAATGCTTTGCCCTGTTATTTTCTCTTTCCTCTTCTCCGTTCTGTGTGTCAGTCTATGCTGGTTTGCACAAATATATTACACACACGCACACACACACACACGCACACGCAAGATTTTTAAAATTGGCATAAACAGCATTCTACTCTGCCTTAGTTTTATCGTGTGCTTTTTTCTGCTCATAATTCTTCATTGTGATTACGTTGCCCTGGAGATTCAACTCATGCCCTCGACACTGTAATGCACACTCTTTCTTCTTTGCTACTACAGACATAGATGATTGTGGCTTTTCATGTGTGTGAGTACCAGTCTCCCTGGAGGCCTGCTGTGTCCTTGCTCCTGTGGGCAGGGGGAGACCTCAGGGTGGTGCCTGTGGCTGGGCAGCATGCTCCAGGCCAAGTGTGAGGCCAGCACAGGGCTGAGGACCTGCCGGGTCCAGCACCGTCCAGCACAGCCGTCTTCTAGTTCAGCCCACACCTCCTCACCATGGCCTGCATGGTGTGGAATCAAAGTCTTGTTTTTTTACTAATTAAGAAACCCAGCCTTTATGTGGTCGATAGCTGCTGAAATGGAGAGGAGCGGCGGCAATGGTGAATTCCAGGCCCTGTGCTGTGCATTGGCGCCACGTCACCCTCAGGCAGCCGAGTGTCTGGCTGGAGGCCCAGAGCGGGGTCACAGGTGTGAATTCCGCATGCAGCTCCCACCTGTCTAACACGTGTGCATTCACCTGTGCGGCAGGTGCTATTCTGCTCCCACAGAACAGCTGAGGGCAGTGTGGAGCCCCAGGTCCCAGCCACCCAGCCAGGAGGGAGACTCAGAGGTTAAGCCCAGCCAGCTGAGGGACCAGCTATGTCCTCCTATGGCAGAACAGGCCTAGGTGGGGTCAGCCACGTCCCTCTGCAACCATGAACAGGTGGGGTGTGCAGGCTGCATGTCACAGAGCTAGAGCCCAGAGGTTGCGGAAGCCAGGGGACTCTGCAGGGGTGGAGTGGGCTGTGGAAGGTGGACCCTGAGCAGGGCTGGGTGGGCTGCAGTGGAATCCAGTAGCTCTGCAGTGTTCGCAGTCACACCAGACCAGCTCCAGGCCTTAGTCCTCCCCCTCCCTCCTCCTAGACTTTGGAGTCCCCGCCATCCCTCCTGAGCTGGGTGGCCTGGCCAGGATTGTCAATGGTGAGGATGCGGTCCCTGGCTCCTGGCCCTGGCAGGTGTCCCTGCAGGTGAGATGGGAATATGGGGAGCACCCTGGGTGTTTGACCAAGCTGGGGGACTGCCCAGGCTGCAGCTGTGACCCTCCCTTCCTTCTTCCCCAGTATAAGGACGGCTTCCACTACTGCGGGGGCTCCCTCATCAGCCAGGACTGGGTGGTCACCGCCGCCCACTGCGAGGTCGGGTGAGCAGGCGGGCTCTGCTCCCAGATGTGGGGTGGGGTGGGGATGTCAGTGGCCCATGGTGTTCTCAGCCCTGTCTGTCTCTGTGCCCAGGCTGAATGACAAGGTGGTGGTAGGGGCATACGACCTGAGCTCTCCTGATGAGGTCTACAGACAGGTCCTGGACGTCCAACAGGTACCAGGACAGAGGACAGGAGCTGGGCCCTTGGAGGTGAGTAGCTGGGTTGCTCCAGGACCTCACTGGGTTGTGGTTGTCATTCTCAGGTTTTCACGAACCCCTCCTTCAACGATGAGACAATAAGCTACGACATCACCCTGGTAAAGCTGGCCACGCCTGCCCAGTTCAATGAGAGGGTGTCGCCTGTGTTGCTGCCCAATCCCTCTGCCGACTTCCAGCCTGGCACTGAGTGTGTCACCACTGGCTGGGGCATGACGAGAATCTTCCGTGAGTGCCTGGGACTTCTCACAGCAGGGGCTGTCACTGGGTTTAGGAGCTGCCAGGGCAGCAGGAATCCCCACAGGGACCTGAATGGTTTTTTAAATTAAAAGTGCATGAAGTAGCCTATCATGGTGGCTCATCGCTGTAATCCCTCCCAGAAGGAAGGAGGCTGAGGTAGGAGGACCGCTGGGAGTTCAAGGCCAGAGTGAACCATACAGCAAGATGGTGTCACTCAAAAGAAAAAAAAAATCTATAAAACATACTTATTATTTTGGAATAGGAATAAAGAGAAAGCTAAAAATTTCCACACACAAACAAACTGAGAGCTTATAGAGCTGGACTTCCCAGAAAGCTCCCGATGAAAGCCCTAGACAGGAGCCCTCAGAGGCTGCCTGTACCCCCATGTGAGTACCCAGCAGAGGCATCTCTCCAGGCTCCGGGTGGGGCGAGGGCTCTCACCCTGCCCTCTTGTCCCTATAGCTCCTAAGGACGCTACCAAGCTGCAGCAGGCAGTCCTGCCACTTTTGTCCACCGAGAAGTGTCAGAAAACTTGGGGCAACATGATCACTGACCAGATGATCTGCGCCGGGGCCAATGGCGTCTCTTCCTGCATGGTATGGTCCTGGGGACCCAGGAGGGACACAGGGACCCTGCATGTAGGCCTGGGCTGTCCCTTGTTCTCCTCTATTTACAAGGCCCAACTGGTGCTATCAGGCACCCTGAGGCAGATTGTCTGGCCAGGTTCTTTCTTTCTTTCTTTCTTTCTTTCTTTCTTTCTTTCTTTCTTTCTTTCTTTCTTTCTTTCTTTCTTCTTTTTTTGGTGGAACCGGGGATTGAACTCAGGCCCTTGAGTTTACCAGGCAAGCACTTATTCTACTGAGCTATCTCCCTGGCCCCTGGCCAGGTTCTTGCTGTGCTGCTCACTGAGCTCGGTAGTCACTGCCGCCCTGGAAGCAGAGGTGCAGCCTATGGGAGAGCGGACAGACTGGCTTAGACAGGGGAAACTGCCTGCTCAGGGCCCTCAGGAACAGACTGCGGAGATGGACTGCATGACACTCAGATGAAGTCACTTGGGCAGAGCCACTGTGCCCCCCTTGTCACTCTTCTGCCCCTCCCGGCCTCTGCCAGCCCAGGAACTCTGATCCATGGCACGCTTCAGGCTTACTGTCAGGTCCTCTCCTTCCCTGCAGGGTGACTCTGGCGGCCCCCTCGTGTGCAAGAAGGATGGAGCCTGGAACCTGGTAGGCATCGTGTCCTGGGGCAACGCCTTCTGCTTCACCTCCTCTCCAGCCGTGTATGCGCGCGTCACTGCACTCATGCCCTGGGTTCATGAGACCCTGGCAGCCAACTGAGCATATTTCCTTGCCCCTCCTTCTACAGTGATCCCCAATAAAGTCCTCTGCTCAGAAGACTGGCTGCATGTGTCTCACTGAGTGACGCATGGGGATGTGGGACTACAGTTGTCAATGTCACCCACCAAGCATAACATTATAGCTCCCTTACCACACTGTAGGACTCCTATGAGACAGTTGAGGTCCTTCTGTGTCCTCCCCACACACAGTCCATGCCTTGCCTTCTGGAGCCAGTTTGAGCCCATGGGCTCCCTGGAAGGCAGAAGGCCCTGCCCGGGCTCTAGTCAGTAGCCCTGAGGGTCCCTGCATCAGGACCAAAGCAGCTTCTGGTTAAGGCTTCGGTCTGTTCCCCAGGCCCCTGGCCCTTTTCTCTGCTGCAGCCTCGTCCTTCCTGCCATCACCCTGGAACCTGCCTTTAAGCACATCCTGTGTGCAGCAGCCCCAGCCCCTGCTCACACGGCACACAAACTCAGTTGCAAGCCCAGCACCTCCAATCTGGCTGTAGCACACCCTCAGCTCCTTGTCTTCCTTGTCTTCGGAATTTTCTCAGATGGAGGAGTTGGCTCTAGAGACCTGAGCACCCTCATTCCACCCCTGGCCAGGCATGGATGGAGTGGGCTGTCCCCTGCGGCAAGTCAGGACTGGCTGGCAATCTTTGCTGAGGTCAGCTGGCATCGATGCCAAGGCCTGCACCCATCCATCCTTTCAGGGACTGCAAGCAGGTGGCACCTACATTTCAACATCTCTTTGCCTTTATTACTTGGTGCTGTATTCAGGGTTTGCAAGGTAAAAATTTAATACAGAGTGCAAAATTTATAATATATTTTATAGTATTCACCCAAGAGTGAAAGGCAAAAAGCACAGGAAATCTGTCGACAGCTAGAGACCCAGTGAAGCCAGCCGAGAGCCTGGATC